AAGAGAAAGGGATAGAGAGTTAGAAACATCGATCAGCTGCCTCCTGCACACCCCCTACTGGGGAATGTGCCCGCAACCAAGGTACATGCCTTTGACCGGAATCGAACCTGGGACCTTTCAGTCAGCAGGCCGATGCTCTATCCACTGAGCCAAACCGGTTAGGGATTAATACTATATTTTGATGTCATTATTACTTATGTCTCCTACAGGCAATACCTATGACCAACTTTTAGTGTTTATTCGGCTTACAGCATTAGAAGAGAGGCAATCATATATCTGGGCTTTGTTTTCCAGTTTTTCTCTATTGTTTATCCGATTAGGTCACTTGATTAATTCTTTCTCTTCCACATTCTTTTAACTCAATATTACTTTAGACATGCATACACTTTCACTAAAGTCAAAGTGATCTGAGGTTTAGTTAAACTATGCAGTACATACAATTTTAATAGGCTATTAGAACAACGATAGAGCTAGAACCAGCAGGAACTGGCGCACAGAAACAGGCAAGTGTCCTCAAAGTTTTCTAAAACTCAGACCTGCTAACTCCCAGTACATCCTGAATATAGCAAACCAGAAATTAGCAAAACATGCATTGACAGTGGAATATGCTAGTGAGTATATTAATACGTAAGTGTACTTACTGAGGCAAACCAGATAGGCTTCAGCATTCTGCTACTAAGCTTGTCACACTACTTTCCATGAACATCTCTTACCTTAGATTGCACTTGAGCAGATCTTAAAATCGCAAAAAGTAGTTCTTTCCTACAACAATCCATGCAAACAATTTCACTACAGAGGCTACCTTCCTCTCCTTAGTCACATCTACTCCTGAAACTTACATTTTCTGGAGGACTTTTCACCAGGCCTTACTTATTTTCCCCTCTGCAGTGTCCGGGGTATTAGGTATAGATACTGTAGATCTCACTTAAATATTTCCTTTCCGCCGACATCAATAAAATATACCCTGGGATGTCCCCAGCAGGGAAGGCACAACTATTTCTTGAAGCACTTATGTTAAGTGGGTTGTATAACACAAGGTACCACAGTGTCGTGTTTGAAGTTGGAGCTGGAGATGTTTGATGACAGATTAAGTAATGGACCAAGTTAGTTTAGTGAAGGTATTTTAAAAACCAAGTGTTATCCTACCACCCCCCCGCAAAAAAAAAAAAAACCGCACAAAAAACTGTTATCACATGTAGTCAACTTAAAATCAGACAACATTGCCGTGTCAGTTTTATTTCCTGTCTGGGCCGATGATGGCACTAGCAGGGAGCGTGGTGGAGAGAATGAATGAGAACAGGTCACAGCGCGGGATGACAGTCGCGCTCTGGATTGAAAAGGACGCAGAATATTTGACCTGCATCTCAATTCCTCCATCATTCCAGCCGCCCAGGCACCAGGCAGGGCACCGGGACACTGTCAGGCCGGCTTCTCCGGGGGAACCGGCCAAGCAAAAGCACAAAACACAGCTGCCAGGCTCTGTGCTTTATGCGGAGCCTGGTTTGAACGACCGTAAGTGTTTTGTTTACACATCGCGTAATTCACACAATTCTACCGGGCAGGAGGTTCCGGACCCCGTTTATTTCACAGAAGAGGAAACTGGATCCTCGGGGAGCGCGGGTCGGGTGGCCAGGACAAAGGCACCCGGTGAGTCCGACTCCGCAGCCTCCGTTTTTGGACGCCGAACTTAGAACGACAGAGAGACCCAGCGGGAATCGGAATCGGGGTCACGACGCCTCCGATCCGCATCCGAACGCCGTGCGGCCCCCTCTTTCTCCGAGGGGCTTCCGGAAAGCCCGCGGGCGGGGGGTGGGCGCGCTGCCGGAAAAGGGCCAGGAGACCCGCCTCCCACAGGCGCGCCCGCAGCCGTACCTTGGCCACCACCTCTGTCTTCCTCCTCACATCCCCAGGCTCCGCGACAGCACCCGGCGGAGCGTGCACCGAGCTCCCGGACCGCCAGCCCCGTCTCCCGTCACCGCCGACTACCGCAGCCACATTCGAAATTCGCATCCGCTCTCGCCCATTGGCTGGCTGGGTGGAGGTCACGTGAGGCGGCGGCGCATTCGCCGACGCAGGCAGAGCCCCACCCCCTCGGGCGTCCTCACGTGACGCACTGTCGACAAGCATCCACATCCGGGCACTCTCCGCCCGAGTCCCGGGAGGGCGGAGCCGGCTGTCAAGCGGGTGGACCTGCCTGCACTTTTGCGCTCTGAGTTGTTGGCTTCTGGGGGCGGAGCCGCTCCCAGTCCTTTGAAGGGTGGGTATTTTAGGGCTCAGAAGCTTCCTGTTTTAACTTTAGTTTTGCGGCGTCCCATCTTCGAGGTTGTGCTCTAGGCTTCCCTCTTGCGAGAAGAAGCTCCTTGTTTGGTTGCCCGCCCAGGCAGTCGAACTGCTGCACCGAGGCAGCTTTTAGGGAGAACAATAGGGAGCAAATTATGGATTGACAGGATCTTATTGGGGAAGTTGCAGATACCTGAGATATTCAGCGGCGGGTTCTTTCTCTTAACCCGGCTACCTGTGGCTCTTTAACCGGCAGGAGATGGCACCAGCATCCATCCAGTTCCCCACTGGAGTCTGGGGAATCTTTCTGATTGATTCTTTATTCTCCCTTAGCCTTTCAACGTCCAGTCATCCAGTTCTATTTTCTGAATATTTCCCACGTCCAAACGTCGCTATTTCCCATCCCCTAAGCCAGCCCACTACCGGATATCTTTTCATGAGCCGCGCAGGTGCCTACTCTGACCGCTGGCTCCACTCCTTTATGTTCTTCATGGTGACATTTGGACAAAGCAGATATGATTGATTAGGAAACTCCTAAATTAAGGCTGCCCACGGCATTTAAGAACTCCTAGGTGTTTGGTCCTGAAAGATCCCCATGATTCCTGGTCCCACCTGTTCTGAATTTTCTTGCGTTTCGTTGGAATTCCTCTTGCTGGTTTTGCCCACACTGTGCTGTGCATCAAGAAGGGTTTTTCCTCCCCCCCGCGCCGAGTCCCATGTAACATTTAACTCTTATGCATGCTGCAGGTGTCACTGTCGAGGTAAATTCTTGCAGAAGCCTTATCTGTCCTCAAAGCTCCATTAAGTGCCCTGCTTTGTGCTTCCTTAGTGCCATGCATGTTCCCCTGGGTTACCTTGTGGCACTGACTTGTCATCCATTGCCTGGTTATTCAAGTTGAATAAGGGTAGGAACTCTATCTACCTGTTCATAGTTAAATCTTTAGCATCTGTTTAGCAATTTGAAGTAAGTTGATAAATATTCACCGGGACAATAAAGCAATGGATAAACAACCTAAACAAGTGCTTTGAATTTAGACATTCAATTTATGAAAGTTATGGGGTTTTTTTTTTGTTTGTTAAAAAAACCCACATTTAATTAGTGGGGTAATCACATTGTAAGATATAAAAATATTAAATCTGTACAGCGCACACTGACATAACCAATATAAGATTGTATACTATTTATTTTCTAAGTAAAAAGAAATTTTTAGAAAGATAACATTTACACCCTTACCTTAGTCTAAGCCTCACCTCATTCCTTTCCTGCTTTCAGTGGAGAGATTAGAACAGCCGTGGGCAAACTACGGCCCGAGGCTTGATCCGGCCCATTTGAAATGAATAAAACTAAAAAAAAAAAAAAAGACCGTACCCTTTTATGTAATGATGTTTACTTTGAATTTATATTAGTTCACACAAACACTCCATCCATGCTTTTGTTCCGGGCCTCCGGTCCAGTCACCCTAGTCTAAGCCTCACCTCATTCCTTCCTGGTTTCCGGGGAAGAGATTAGAACATCCTTCTCTACATCCAACAACAACCTGTTCTCCAGTGTCATCCACCAGACTACCTCCATTAGTTCTCAGTTTGCTACACCTGGGCAGTGTGACTCCTATGTGCAGAAGAATCAAGAAGCAAGGAGCAGAGAGGTTTTTTTAATTGCTTGAGGCCAGAGGGTATGAAGTGGAAGGTGAGAGCAGGGCTGGATTCATGGACGCGTGACCTGTTTTCGCCCAAAAGGCCCCGCAGTTAGTTTAATGCTCTGCTCTTGCCATCTTGAAATGCTTAATCATTTATCTTTGAACTTGTGACTTGTAAGTGAAATCTGATGAGACAGTGGAACATGCACATGAATATATGAGATACATATGTGTGTCTGTAACTGCCTTTTGCTGCCTTATTGCCATACAGTGTGCAGGATGCTCACTAAATGGCTTCCATGATACACTTAGTTTGTACTTGGGGCCATGTGTTCAGAAGGGCTTCACACTTCATTTAATAGTCTGTGGCCTTCTTGTAATTCTTAACAGTTTTATCTTTGAACTGTGTACTCACATTGAATTCCATTGAACTTTCATGCTTTTTAGCCTAAAGAAACTATTAAAATCTAATGTGAGAGTCTTTATTACCAGACAATTTTAAGAAACTAAAGTTGACTTTATGGAGCCAATAAAGCCCTTTGGATATTAGCAAAACTTTAAGTGAAATATCATCTCTAAAAACGTGCTTAAAATTACTATTCTTACTATATGTGTTTAAAACTAGGCCAAATTTAATGAGCCTAGGACTTATTTTACAAATGAAGTAGTGTTACTGTGAATATCTTTGGTAAAAATGAGGTGCCTGTAGAGAGAAAAATTGCATTGCAATAGAAAACTATTGTGTACTCATTATCAGATTCTAGTCCTGTTTACTGTCTGAGGTTTTGTTATCTACCTGCAAACTGGCTGGTTCCTGAATTCTTCTAGTTTCCCCTAATATCTGGCTACAACTCTTCAAACCAACATTTCCAAATTTCTCCCACCTTTTAGACTTAGAATCACTAAAACCTAAAACTATCCTTTCCCCATACTCTAACTAGCTAAAGGGGAACCACTCAATATAAACTTCAGATATCACCATGATGGATCATATACAGTATGTGCCTTCTTCATGCCTATGTCTGTGTAGGCCACTCAGAGAGTTCACCAGAACACCCTGACATCACTAGACATTCAAACTGCAAACCAGGAAAATTCATCAGATTGAAACTGTCATCATTCTGCCACCTAAAGAGATGCTTTGATTTAAAAAAAAGAATGTTTAAAAAATCTATAGGCCAAAAGTAAAATTACAAAAATAAAGATGCTTTGATCTCAAACCTAGAAAATTTCCTGACTGATTGATCTTTAGACTCAGAAACTAAGTTTATGATTTGCTCCAACTATTAACCTTTTTTCTCTTGTTTCCACAGAATACCTGAGTGCTCACACTGCATAGTTCTACTTAGATGGAAGCTCATCTGCAATGCTACCTCTTGAAGGTATGTATGTATAAGGAAAAAAAAACATATATATAGGGTTTGGTACTATTTGTGGTTTCAGGCATCCACTGGGGGGTCTTAGAACATATCTCCCCCCCTCCACTTAAAGGGGACTACTATACTTTAAAAAATCCATAGTGGAAGTACACTTAAAACAATTTGAGACATGTAGTCAATCAAATTAATCATCACAATAGAAAGTGGTTATTCCCCTTATCTCTTTTCTGAAGTATGTTACTCTCTTCAAATATTGGAAATTACTTCTTGCTATGGTGTGAATGGTTGTTTCCCCCCCGCCCCCCTCCCCCAAATTCACATGTTAAAATCCTAATGCCCAATATGATGGTATTAAGAGGTAGGATGTTTGAGAGGTACTTAGGTCATGAAGGCAGAGTCCTCATGAATGGGATTAACGCGCTTATAAAAGAGACCCCACAGAGCTCCCTATTCCCTTCCACCATGTGAGGGCACAGCAAGAAGTCACCATCTATGAACCAGGAACCTCTCAATAAGCATGAATCTGTCAACACTATGGTTCTGGAATTCTCAGCCTCCAGAACTCTGGGAAATAAATTTCTATTGTTTAAGCCACTGTGGTATTTTGGTATAGTAGCCTGAATGAACAAACACACATATTAAAAGAAATAATTCATAGCACACTGATAATATTCCATAAGTAAAGAGGAAAAGGTATACATAGGACTTAATTTAGTTGAGAAAACAAGGTACAGACTTGTTACATAACAGAAAGTTATGGAACAGTTATTTAATAGCCAAGAAAGCTAATGACCTAAGATAACAAGGAAATGAATATTGCCAAGACAGAGTTAGAAAATGAATGTTGCAGGGAGCGGGGGCAGGTTAGAAGGGGTCGATAGGAAAAAAAGGGGAAATCTGTAACACTTTCAACAATAAAGATACATTTAAAAAAGTAAAATTATTTCACAGAACTTAAGAAATAAAAGAAATTGAATGTTTTACCCTGGCAGGTATTGCTCAGTGGTTAGAGTGTTGGCCTTCGCACCAGAGGGTTGCAGGTTCATTTCCCGCTCAGGGGCATCTACCTGGCTTACAGGTTTGATCCCCGCCCCTAGTCCGGGTATCTCACACATTGGTGTTTCTCTTTCTTACTTCCCCTCCCTCCTTCCTTCTGCTCTCTAAAAATCAGTGGAAAAAAATATCCTTATTCTTTGGGTGAGGGAAAAAAAAAGGAAAATGAATGTTGCTAGTTGAGGAAATTGAAGTGGTGGAGTGACTTTAATGAAGATTTTATTCATTCACAGAACAAATGCATTTTTAAACACTAAGACAGAGACTACTCTTGCGTACCTGATATCCCTTCTTCTCTTTTCCCTTAATAATAGAATTTCTATATTGTTAAGATAGCAATGTGCTCTGTTATAATGAACATTTCAAACCTCCTTTTCACAGGAATGGTTAATGTAACTGGAAGGCCTTGTGTAGGGAACTATGTAAATTCCAGGACATATTTTCTTAAGCTTGGAGCTTAAGTAGAGTCTAAGTCCGAAACCAACTATAGTAAAAAAGGTTTTATTTTTCATGCCACATTTTATCATGCTAAACTTATTTTTTTCAGTGTCTGTCTTTCCTAAAATGCATAAGCTCTAGGAGGACAGGACCCTTGTCTGTTTTGCTTTATATGGGAATCCCTGA